CACACACACACACACACACACACACAAATAAATAAATAAATGTTAAAAAAATTAAAAAAAAAAAAAAAGAAAACACTGTTATTTGAATTGAGGGCAAATACTATGGATCAAGTTGGAGTATTTAGAACAGGCAAATACACAGAAGCTGAGTAGAAGCCAGCTATAGTGATACACACCTGAGGGGCTGGGGAGATGGCTCAGTGGAATAAGTGCTTCCCTGGCAAGCGGAAGGGCTTGAGTTCAATCCCCTGTTCCGCCAAAAAAAGGAAAGAGATACCTGTCATCCCAACACTCTGGGAAGCTGAGGCAGGAAAACAAGTTTGAGCTCAGCCTGGGGGATTCAGAGACTATTTATTTATTTATTTATTTATTAACTGGGGATTGAACTTGGGACCTTGTGCTTGCTGGGCAGGCACTTATGCTACTGAGCTATCTCCCCCCACCAAAAAAAAATTTTATAAGGGGCTGGGGATGTAGTTCAGTGGAGCGTTTGTCTAGGATGTGTTCAGTCCCCACTGATGCAAAAACATAAATAGTAAATGATCTTGACACTTTACACACACAAAAAAAAACTAACCCCAGGCTTAGTTGGCCAAGAAAGTAAAATCCCAACATGATAGATACCATTTTACCCTCAGCATCATGGCTAAAATGTGGAGACTAACAGTACCAAGAGCTGGCATGGCTGTGGAACAAGAGAAATCTTAGGGCAGGAGTGTGTAAATTAAAGCAGCCACGCAGGAAACAGCATCCGCTGCAGCTGAGCGCTCGTGTGTTAGACTAGCAGCAGTTCCTCTCCTTGCACCTCGCCGCAGAAAGCTGCGCCCTCGAAGCAGCACCTCTTCAATAACCACATGGCGGAAGCCGCCCGAGTATCTCCCCTCCCCCAGAAGTGACTGAGGTACCGTAGGATAGCACGAGGGCAGCAGGGACATTGCGACGCGTGGCAGCTGGGATGGTGATAAAAACAGACCAAGGTGGGTGTGGAGGTGGATGCCTGTGACCCCAGCTGCGTGGGAGCCCAAGGCAGGAGGGTCATAAGTTCAAGGTCAGTGTGGCAAGACGGTAAGATCTTGTCTCCAAGCTTAAAAAGGTAATAATGGATTCCAGTGGTTGAGTGCTTGCCCAGCGTGCGCTGGAGTGTTCAACAACACGCACATCCACACCTAGACCAACCTCCAGTTGCTTCCTTTCAGTGGTTTTTTTTTTTTTTTTTTCTTTTTTTCTATTTTTTGCAGTACTAGGGATTGAGCTCAGGATCTTGTGCGTGCCAGGCAGGCACCTATGCCCCTGAGCTGTCTCCCCAGCCCTTGTTTCTGTCTCCCCCTCCACCACCACCACCAGGGACTGAACTCAGGCTCTTGCACTTGCCAGGGAAGTGCTTATTCTACTGAGCCATCTCCCTGGCCCCTTTGTTTCTTTCTTTTTTTTTTTAATTTTTTTTTAAAATTTTATTTATTTGTGTGTGTGTGTGTGTGTGTGTGTGTGTGTGTGTGTGTGTGTGTGGCCAGCTCAGCCCACCAGGGGGCGGGGCTGGCTGGCATGTGGTGCTGGGGGATTGAACCGCGGTCCCTGTGCTTTAGCTAAGCTTGTTCTAAGTAGGTGCTTTAGACCACTGAGCCATCTCACCAGCCCCTGGCCCCTTTGTTTCTGTTTTTAATTTTCATCAGTAACCTTCCCTTCCCTTACCACTCCCTGCTTTCTCTTTTTTTTGAAACAGTTTCACCTGCCAGTAACCTTGAGCTAAAAGTCCTCCTGTCTCAGCCAGCTGAGAGCTGGAATTACAGGCCTCCTCCACCACCCCTACTTTATTCGATTTTAATCTCCTGCCTATATCTTTAAACCAATGAGATCTCTGTAACTGGAGCAAATTGTTCTTCCTCTTGTGTCCCAGGCTACTGTTATGGTATATCATGGGATAGAATGCTAGCATGTTACTTAAAAAATGAAAATGAATGGATTAAAACTATGCCTTGGGCTGGGGATACAGCTCAGCAGCACAGCGCCTACCTGGCAAGTTCTACATCTTTTTTTTTTAATTTTGGGGAAGGGTCCACAGGGTGTTTAGGGTCTCACTACTAGATTGG